TTCAAAACATATTAGCAAACAGTAAAACAAATAAGTATCATTTAAATGTAATTTGACAGTGTTAATTGTTTATTTGAGCACTTATCCATTTCCTATTTCCCCATATAGTCTGACAACATTACCCATACATACATAAAAATGTGGGCTTTATTACAATACATTCAGACACTTCTGTCCAAATTTACATACTGTGCATTCAGACCATGTTGGAGCAAGAGCTAGATATCATCCAAAACTTGGAGTATATCCCTTCTAAACAAATAAATACAAACATGTTCAGTGCTTAGCATTTTTTACTTTTTGAAACAAAATTAAATTAAGTACTTACAAGGGTTGTTGAGATGTAGCCTGTGGCAGAAGATGGCCTGCGACTCTGGTATCTTCACTTCAGTGGAGCCTTGACCGAGATGAGCGACCACAGGGTCCACAGGGTCCTCTGAGTGACGGGAGGGATAAAAGTCTAGAGGCAGAGGAGTGCAGTGATAGGTGTAGTTCCCCTTTGGCCAGCACCAGAATTTTGAACTAGTCTTTGAGCAACAACAGCTAGTGGAAGAGGAAGAGGAGTTGTGTGTGAAAACTGTGTGTGTGAAGGTTGATTACCATTTTGGATTAGCTGCAGAGGGTCTGATGGCAGACGCAGGGCATCCAGCAAGGAGGGAGTTGCAGTAAACCTGGTTGTTGACCCTCACTGATGACAAGGTGGGCCTGTGCTAGGATAAAGAAAATTAGGAACAAGGAACTTAAAAATAAAAATAACCAATAAAAGATAGCTAAAAAGGTAAAATACAAATAAATGAATTGTATCAAGCACTGTATATAGGCCTCAAAAAAGAAATGAGTATACATTTATGTAATAATGTAAACATTTAACACATCAAATAAAGACAAGTATGTCACATCTGGGACTCCATAGTTATCTGTCAAACATTAGTGCTAATGTAGTCAATAAAAGGTTGTGCTTGCTGAATGAAAAGCAATCTATTATTCATTGCTGTCTATTATTTATTACTGTCAGTTAATGCAGCGCACACACACACACACACACACACACACACACAGTCATATAAATGGAGCAGCTGTCCTTTGATACGTATAACTAATTTATGTTTCATTATGATTTATCCAAATGGATTTTGATGCTTTTTGAATGCTGCTCATCTCACATAGACGGCAATAAAATAAATTAAACAGTGAGTCACAGAGTGAGGATCAGGGGGCTGGCACTCTACTCATGTTCAGGTAACTAGCACTGTCAGTATATAAAACTAATTAGGCTTGTTAGTGTGTGGCTCGCATTACGTTCGCAAAAAGACGTTATAAATTTGAGAGAGGCTGCTGCTCTTTGTCTTTCCTCTCCTCCATCTCCTCTCCCCATCTGTTTAATGTTAGCTCATAAACAGACGGGTGCAGATCCAGGCCTCGGGAGAGTGGTTCAATGAGTGTGAAATAAAGAAGGAAGAGAGAAGCGTCTGGAAATACACTCTCTGAACTGTTTGTCATGGATGGAGGGGTGAGAAAATAGAGGGGTGCGAATGTTTAGTGAATCTCCATGGAGAGCAATCAAATCTTCAACCCTGTACGTGTCTTTTAACAGCATACAGTAATATTATTTTTCATTGGAGAGCTGCATATTTGTTCGGCTTTCTGTGGTCATAAACATGCTAATTCAGATCAGGAAATCAAGAAACATGTTTTCCTGAACAACATCAATTTACAGAGTCAGATCTGGTCTTTAGAGAGAAGCATTTAATTTAAGCAATATGGGACATTTTGAATGAACGTCCATTATGCGAGCTTGCAGCAATTATTGGTAAAAGAAATAAAAGTCAGTTGATAAAAGCTTTCACATTTTCAGCTTCAGCCAGGTCTTTTTCTGGTGCACAGGAAGTGACACGCTTCTGATGGGTTTAGAATAAATAGGAGAGCAGCTGTGTGTGAGCAGCAACAGCCAACAACAGATAAACAGAAGATCGCCTGCACAGAGAGTCAAAACACATTAACACAACATGCAAGGAAAAAAATTGTATTCTGCCCTGTGACATATAAAGGTGGTAAAAAGTTTTTTTTCTGTAATCTGTAACTGTAAATACAACTCGTACCAACATGATTCTTGACAGTTGTGCAAAGCTGCATGGAATACAAGCTTTTTAGTTATACAAAAAAGGTCAGGAAAGGTAATACAATGTATGAAAAAATACCATAAAACCACATTAAACCCAATATACATGACACAAATAAATATTAAGTCACAATAAATAGACTAATACAGTAGGATTTGTCCCTAAGAGACACACACTGTCTTGTAGCCCCATGTGAGGAGGCCTGTTTGACCTTGGCATGTTAACAGATTTCTTGAAGGAAAAGCTCTTTCTGTTTCCAGATTTAGAAACTGCCAATTAGCAAAGAAATCCAGTAGTCACATGGTGATTAATTAATTCACTCAGTGCTCCCATTTATTTCAGTCATGACAGTGATTGCCAGACTAAAAATATATCTGCCACTACAAAATGGATTCACCAAGGAAATGTTAATGACATGGCAGAAATAACGCTTTTTTTAAACTATTTGTATGGACAAGCAGATATTTTTGTTACAAATTGTTTTATTGCGGAGGTCATTTTTTTATGTAGCTGCAGGTATAATGCTTTGCTCTCTCGGAAGTCAACTTTTTTCAAATGTCAGCCTAATTTCAAAGGTTGCTGAATGTCTTTTCATTGTTGGTCCATAATAACGTTTTTGACACGGCCCATTTCCCTGTCAATGCCACCACCAGCCTTTGTGACTTTGAGTGTCAGTGAAACCTTTAATTTTATTAAATGTATTTATTACGTCACTCAGCCTCTAAAATTGGATTCTGTTCCACAGCGTGCATCTGAAAATGTGTATGGATAAAGCTCTGCCTGTATTGAATAACAGTATATTATTCAAACCCTTTCCCTCTTGACAGCGTGACTTATACTCAAATACATGAAGGTCCACACTGTACTATGTATCTGCATGGTATCTGTATATCTGCATGGTATCAGTTTACAGGCTCGCTGTTTTAGAATGCAAAACTGCCACCTGGTGGTATCTGGGCTGTGCTGCTCTTGTTAAATCCTACATGGAAGCAGTGGCTGTTAGTGTGGGCTCTGGGCCCTCTAGTAGTCCCTGAGGGCTCCAGAGGCCTAAGGGGAGTCCTTTCATACCAGAGAATAGTTTTAATTTCACTGTTATTCCCCTCCTGAGAGGTCAGAGGAATTTGAAAAGCATAAGGACCTCTTGAACTGAGCTGTCCCAAACAACAGACAGCAATGATGTGCTTACTTGCTCTGGATAAAAGTCTTATTAAATGGGGATACATAGTCTAACGAGAGCCTATTTTCACTAAAATAAAAAGGTCTGGAAGCTTGTTAACTATGTGACATCTGAAGCTCCACTGGCAGATCTGAATGTGCTGTCAGCCTCCTTGTGGACCAATGCACACTGCGGGGCACGACTGAAAAAAAATATGCCAACCAGGCTTTAATCAATGTGGCCTTCGTATGCCAATACAAGTACCGATATTTGAAAGGATGCAGCTGATGTTGGTATGTTGGTAACATTCAGTATCTTAGAAGTTGATTCTAAAAAGACACAAATGACATGTTGTTTAAATGACATGCTGCTAATGATAAAAACCTAATAATTTATGGAATGTATCCATTGTACTTACTATCACATACTGTACATATATAAAAATACAGTATTTAGCATAATTCATTAAATAATTCAATCCATTGTGCAACATTTAGAATGATCTATTGGCAGAAATATAATATTCATAGGTATGTTTTCATTAGTGTATAATCACTTAAAAATAACAATTGTTTTTGTTACCTGAGCCATTTTTATCTACAGAGGGAGTCGGTCTTCTTCTATGGAGCCATATTGAACTGTCATGTTTCTACAGTAGCCCAGAATGGACAAAAACAAAACACATGGTTTTGCAGCCACCGTAGTTTCTTCTACCCGAAGGCTGAACTATATTCAAATGGTGGCAATCTGCAACACACTGGTCCTTTAAAACGTAAGGTATCAATGAAATTAAAGGGTACAAAAGCCTGTTTCATCCTTCTTAAATCTCTTTAAATATTTCATGAAGCAGATTAATTATGTGTACAAATCTCCTCTTAGTGTTGTTGCATGTTTAAGAGATTTCATGTAATTTCTAAATTTAATAATGAACAATTCAAAAGACAGAAGGGGTTTCTAAAACTTTATAGTATATAGTATAAAATCTACCAAAATAAATCTGTAAATATGTTGTATTTTCATCTCTTTTTTCAGAATAAAATAACATACAGGGCTTCTAATGATGTGTCGGATGATCACACTGACCCTCCTGTTTGTTTACAAATGACATTTTGTATGAACAGTTATACAGTCAAGATTTTGTTGTGTCACATGTGTTGAAGACATCTACAAATGTGCAAATAAAAATCTCCATTAAATAGGTTTGCAATATTTTGTTATTTAGAACAGAGTTGGACATCCCTGCATGTTTTAAAACAAACTGAATATAAATTATAGTGTAATCAATTTAGAGCTGCAGTAATATAAACTGCTATTAATGGATGGGTGATTGGATTTCACAAAAATGCTAATGTTGCTCTGTGTCTGCTGGGTGTGTAAATAAGCAACTACTTGCTAACATGTTTGCCAAGGTAACGTGATAATATGACAATTTTGTGTTTACAGTTGGTACTGTGTGGCCAAAAAAATAAAAAAATAAAATTAATAATGCAGCTTTAAAGGACAACTACATGACTCAGAGAAACCCATTGTATTAAAGAAACTTCTAATGTTTTTTCTTCCTGTAAACAGTCAACCATCATTACAATAACAGCTAACACTGTCTCTCATTTAGAAGTTTGTTTTTATCTGTGTCTGTTCCTGATTGTATCTGAGGCTTCCTATGGACACATGGCGTGGCTGGACGACCGCTGAAGGCTACTGTGTTTGCTGTTTGTCTCCTTTAGGGCCATGCTGAGTGACATTGGGGACTATGTAGGTACAGACATTGAAATATCCTGGTTACCTAATCTGGATGAGTTAATGAAGGGCTATGCCAGAAATTTTCGCCCTGGGATAGGAGGTGAGTATGAGATCTACTGCTCGTGGCATTGGGTTGCATTTCACCACCTCACATTTACAGCCATCCTTAGCATCACCCACCAAAAGTAACAGCAACATGAACGTTTTACATTTCATTTTTCAATTCCATTATCCTGAGAGATATCTCTGTTTTTTGTTTTCTTCTTGTACCACAGTAGAACAAAGCTGTATTTACCTTATGTAAATACCCGCTTTGTAAGGTGAATTTTTAAGGACACCAAAAACATTTAGGTCAAGAGTAGCTTTGCTGAGGGAATTATCGAGAACGATGCCCCTCAAGGGAGATGGGTGGTGCAAACAATGAGCACCCCCCTGGAGACTCTGCTAAGAATGGCTGCAAGATGTGAAACATCCAATGACCACAGCGATAGATTTCTCAATCTCACAGCTTAACTCAGCTGAGCAAAGGTGAAAATGTGGAGCAGGAGTGCTGCTACCACCACACACACCGCCCTGTGCACTACACGCCTACAAGGACCATCATACCACGGCATCATGTGGTGACTGCATTCTTATTGATGTAACATTATAATGACCATTGAGGAATCATGTCTGTTTGGAGTAATTCCCTTCATTCAACTTGCATCCCATTGTTTATTAGTATGGAGGTATGTTTGTGTCATTAAACATCAAATAAATATTTAACTTACACAAATTGTAAAGGATTCATAGATATGTTTTGCACCGTGAAAATGAGACAACATTCACAAATGTGACTTTGTACTCGCAATAAAACATTTGACTTCAGTCCATGAGATTCCAAAAGTGAGGTGATGCACAAAAACCAATTATTTTAGCTTGGAAAGTACAGATGTTATCTTTTGATTATTTTGATTATTACATTATTTTTTGTTGGGAGACATGCATAAGTGTTTACATTTTTTGTAAATGGACTAACACTGTTAAATTGCATACCTCCTAAACAAACAGTTAAGACTGTGTACAGTGGTACACTGAAGCGTTTTTTTAAAAAAAATCTTAAAGGACTGCAAGTTAAGAATAAAAAAAGACAAAACAAACATCTTCACCCCCTTTTGAGCTCTCTCCCTATATATCAACAAATGCTAGCATGCTTTCCATAGTGCAACGCATATTTGTGTTTGTTATTTGCAAATGCATTAAAGTTGCAAAGCATTTAAGATATTTGTGAATCTTACTGTATTTGCGTAATGTTCATGTTATTTATGCTATTTGAAGTTTTATGAAACAAAATGAATGCCACATTAACATTAGAGTATTGTTAAGGTAAGACTAATCAATGCAAAACTTTCCATTTTATTATTAGTAATAAGATATATAGTATATCTTACACAAATGTATTATTATTATTATTAGTAGTAGTATTATTATTAGTATTAGTAGTATTTTCTGTGTGAGGACACTATACAAAACATATATGATATTGCATCAGGTGAGATCCTCTAAATTCTCTCTTGCTGACCTTGGCATACAATAAACATGCCATCGTAAATCACCTCACACTATACATCCAGTGTATGACCAATAGGATATGATTTGCCAGAAATTGTGAGGGGAAGGTGTTGAATGGTGGGGAATGGTAATGTATGATTCCTTAATGTTCAGTATAAATGGCCTTTCCGTTCTGCATCAGTGAGCTCCCCTGCAGTTTCTGCCCTCTAGCATCCGATCACAGAGACACACTCCATGCTAATCATATGGCAAACTGTTGAGTGAAAAAGCTACAGTGTGCGCGAATGTTGGCAGAAGCTCACTCTGTGCAAGTCCGTGAAAGCCCAGCGCTGTTTATGAATGCCCACAGTGTGATGTGCCACTTAGCATGGTTAAACTGGATAATGCTTAATCTCTATGCACTGTAGGAGTGTTTGAGACGTGGGAGGATGGTGGGTGGGAGGGAAACAGATGGGTGATGGAGTGAGGATGGGAGGGACTGATGGATTCAGAACGATCAGAGAAGGTGTGTGTGTGTGTGTGTGTGTGTGTTTGAATCAGGGAAGGGGGTAGGTTGGCTTTCTTTTCTCACTTCTCCCCCACGCAGGTCCACCAGTGAACGTGTCCATGGCTATCGAAGTGGCCAGCATTGACCACATCTCTGAAGCCAACATGGTAAAGTATACAGTTCCTCTGTCCTTCTGCAGTGAGATTTTTTATCATCCCCCAACTTCACTATTGCAGAAAAGATCAAAGATTTTCTATTTGCATAATCCTGATTTATCCCACTTGAGGGTTTGAAAGTACTCAGTACGAACATGTGTGACACATTGGCTGAGTTGTTAGATAATTTGATACTTTCATGGATTTTGTATGGTAAGAACCAAATCTAGTGGGGAAAATTCACATTATGTATTTAGCCCTGATTCTTTTTCTAAACAAATAAGTATTTTTCCTCACCTACAAACTAGCATTCCAATAAAGGCAAAGATAAAAAGTGGGGTTTCTTACGTTTTTTTTTTTTGGCACAAGTCAATAAATTAGATACAAATGTACAAAAGAAACTACTCAATTTTGACATGTTTCCATATTGATGTTAAATGTTGTGAACTGGAACAGCTTTAGGATTATTTCTGACAATATCTTCAAGAACATATATGTTTGATTTTAAGCGTTAGGGTTACTTATCTGGACTTACTTTAAATCATTGTTTTAGCGGTGGCACATTTCAGGGTGGTTTTACCCTTTAATAAGACAAAACATTTGGAATGGTAACAGAAGTACCGTAATTGGCTTTCCTTTGGTTCTTCTTTTTTTCCTTCTGTACTTCCTTCTCAGTTACAACTTGTTGATCTATAGTATGATTTAAAGCTGTGAAAGATCAACGTGAAATGATTATAATGAAAGAAATACATAATTGGATATTTTGGTATGATATATGGTTTGTAAGATTAGAGACCCATTATTGAGAATTAGGATAAACTGAATCCAATGTGCTCACGAGTGTTAGATTTCCTCAAAATTGGAGTAATTGAAGAAGTACTCAAGCAATTTAGTTCCCTTTAAAGGTCCAGTGGTTAGGAGGATCTATTGGCAAAGAATGGAATATAATATTCATAGGTAAGTTTTCAATAGTGTATAATTACCTAAATATAGGAAATCCACCATTTTAAATGTTATTTGTTTCTGCTTTCCCAGAATGGACAAACCAAACACTGGCTGTAAATAGGTCCTTTAACATATTTTGCGAGTTTTGCTGCAACCATAGTTTCTCCTACACACTTCACAGCCCATTCTCATTCCCAAGTCATCAAATACAGACACAAGGGGTGTTTTGTTAGTTGCAATCTGCAACTTCACTGCTAGATTGCACTAAATCCTACACACTGTTCCTTTAAGTTAGTGGACTTGTCAGACTCCAAAAACAATAAGTAATTCTACGCTTACTATAAAGCAACATTATTTAAATATTTTCCCAGGGTCTGAGTAGGACTTCAGTGTATCAGATATTAACCCACAAAAACTTGCATTGGTTTTGTTTTGATCTAAAAAACAATCTTGACATAAATGTTTTAGAAAAAAATAAAAAGTTTCCCCTTTCTATTACTCCTCCTATTATTGAGTTAAAGGTACCATAGATGTTAATTTACTCTCTGTAAAGTTTGTTTCCCCATACCCATGACTCAGCCTTTATGTTTGTGTGTGTGTGTTGTTCCTGGCAGGAATACACCATGACCGTGTTCCTGCGGCAGAGCTGGCACGATGACCGCCTGTCCTACAATCACACCAACAAGACGCTGGGGTTGGACAGCCGATTCGTGGACAAGCTGTGGCTGCCCGACACTTTCATCGTCAACGCCAAATCTGCTTGGTTCCACGATGTCACTGTGGAGAACAAGTTGATCCGCCTGCAGCCCAACGGAGTCATTCTATACAGCAGCCGGTACGAGCACACAGATTATTGTCTTCCCTTGTCAGACTCAGACAGTCACACAACCAGTGAGTCTCTTTACCTCTATAATTTGTATCTGAATGCTCTGATGTTGACCTTTTTCTTCTATATGAACAAGTTCTTGCTAGTTTCAGATTCACTAGGATTTTTTGAAACCCATGCCTTCAGAAAACCTCAGACATTTGAGAGCACAGACAGCTCTTATTTGCTATCTTTGGGAATGAAAATCCCTCATGATCCATACCATGATCTGAGAGTGAACTGTTTTTTTCACTTCATAAGCTTAAAAATCTCTGATGTGCTTGTACATGGCTGACGCAAAGACATTGGGGTGAAAGTGAATCATCAAAAGAGATACATTTTCCGTTACTGTCAGTACGTCAGCAGAATTCATAACATTTTAAACAAAACACTTTTAATGCTGTAATAAAAGTTATCCAACCTGAAATGACAAACTAGGTCTTTTGTCATTCCCTTTCAAAACAACACATTTAGGTTTGCGCTTCTGCTTCCCTATATTGACAGTATATTCAACACCGTTTTTGCATTATGGCTGTCACTACGTTGTTTTTTCAGAGTTAGCTGCAGTGACGTACTGCAAGTTGAACTGCACTTATTGGCTGCACTTGGTTTCAGATTGTCTGTAGCAGGAAACAATGGTGGCTTGCCTGGTCACACACATTCTCATATTACAGATAAACAGTACACTAAAATATGTTTCTGAAAAGAGTTGAGGCAAGAAATAAGCAATGCAGTAACAGAATCTTGATTCATATTCGACCAGCACTGCCTATTTGGACAGTTTGTCTATTTTTCTCTAAATGGGACCATAATTTACAAAATGAACATAATGCTCTCTGTTAGAAGACTAAAGATTGAGAGCATAGACTCATTAGGAATTTGTTTACCAAATAAATCAACTGAGAAACAGGATAATTTCCCCAAAAGACATAAGACTATCAGACTTTTTTTTTTCCAGCCCATGGAGCTGCCCCCTACTGGCCAGTAAAAAGAGTACAGGTTTGAGAAACTTCTTTGCTAGCTTCACTTCATAAACTCAGAAGCTCTGTCCACAAATGATATACTGTCAATGGTTTTACCACCATTACCACGTTTTTGTTTTGGTTCAGTCTTGCTGCTCTCATAAGCATTGTTTCAAGACGCAGCAAAAAAAACCCCACAAAGCTCTGATATACATGTTGTACGCTACCTGACAGTTCTCAGCTAACAGTAGAAATTACTGATGTTATGGGAAAGATGCCATGGCTTTAGTAAAACATGTTGCTCAGTTGAGTTTCCATTGATTAAGGGATGAATATACTGGTGTACATTAAGTTTGGATTAACTGTTTTGTTCCTAGAATCACTTCGACAGTGGCATGTGATATGGACCTGACCAAGTATCCCATGGATGAACAGGAGTGTATGCTGGACCTGGAAAGCTGTAAGTTGACATTCCTTTCTTTCTTTGTTTACAAAAAATTTAGCTTTCTTGAGTACTCCTGATGTGTTTATGCCAAAGTGAAGTGACATCTAGGAAAGGTTACAACATTATAAGCTTCCTTCATTCCTCAGTCGTAGGGTAAAAATGCACCATCCTGAGCAACCCTCACATTGTTGCATCTTTTATGTTAGACTGATAAGAAATATCTGTGTTTTCTTTTTCATTCTAGATGGTTACTCCTCAGAGGACATTGTGTATCACTGGTCGGATAGTCAGAAACACATCCATGGCCTGGACAAACTAGAGCTCTCCCAGTTCACCATCACAGACTATCGGTTCGTCACTGAGATGATGAACTTCAAATCTGGTGAGTATCCATCTGGTTTTCCTCTGTTTTTCTTCAGTTGTCAGGGTTTATACAGGCACAGCCAGTTTGAAAGCCCTTTGCATGTTTCTTGAGTGTTTCATCCATTATGTACTATTTTGAGTTTTTGGACTTGGCTTGCCTCTTGTGTTGGAAAGTCTTTTTGAAGCAAGCTTCTTCTTTTTTTATTTATTTTTTTTTTTACTTCAGGCACTTCTGTGGTTATATTCCATGCATAGAAGGAATGGATCAAGTCAGGCTTGCTGCTGAGCCAGGCAGGAGGTTTAGGAGATGATAGGAATGGCTGCTGGGAAAATGTCTGCAACACTACTTTATGTCTTATATCTTCTAGCTTTGCTATCAGGGGCACAAGTGTGCAGACGTTCTATAATATTAGTGTCTATAAAAGAACAATTGCATATTTTCATAATGGATAATTAGTAAAGAAATTAAACATGGTGTCTGTTTTCTGCTTCCCAGCGGGGCGATTTCCGAGGCTCAGTCTTCGCTTCGAGCTGAGACGAAATCGAGGTGTCTACATCATCCAGTCATACATGCCTTCGATATTACTCGTTGCCATGTCCTGGGTGTCCTTTTGGATCAGCCAATCAGCAGTACCTGCTCGTGTGTCCTTAGGTTAGTATTAGTTTGATGAGGTCTGCAGTTTGCGAAAGCAGCTATTGAGCCTTCTACAATGAATGAAACTAAACCATAATGACAATTTTGCTATTCTTGTAGCCTTGCAAGTTCTGGGGCTACAAACATAAAATTAATCTTAGTGGTGTCATCATAGGAACCACTAAGTTAAATAGTTTATACTAGTATTGTTCAATAATGAAAGAAACAAAGTTGACATTCTGTCCTGAAGGTGGCGCTAGAGGACAGCTCATTAAAGGTGCAATGTGTAGGATTTAGTGGCATGTAGAGGTGTAGTTGCAGATTGCCAATGGGAATGTCATGCTTTGCTTTAGTCATGAACCAGAGTATTAGAATTAATCAAATTTTGACCTGATGATGGCGCTAGGGGAAAGGTTTGGGATCACCAAAGTCATTACGATTCATCCTCTGGGAACCATGATTGCACAATATTGTAAATTGTTAGATTGTATAATATTTCATGGCAATCCATCTAGTACATGCTAGAGAATAAGTGACAACTTTGACCTTCTGGTGATCCTTGCAATCCATCTAATAGTTGTGGAGACACAGACCAGCAGACTGACATTGCCATCCAAAAAAGCCTTGCCGCTAGCATAGCTAAAACCCCACAGAACCCTAATCTGTACCGTGTGCCTGTGTTCTTTCCATAGGGATCACAACTGTTCTCACCATGACCACACTGATGGTAAGCGCCCGCTCCTCCCTGCCTCGAGCATCCGCCATAAAGGCCTTAGACGTCTACTTCTGGATCTGTTATGTGTTTGTGTTTGCGGCTCTCATTGAGTACGCCTTCGCTCACTACAACGCTGACTACCGACTCAAAGAGAAGGCCAAGGTGAAGGCCAACAAGCTCAGCTCTGAGGTGAGGAAATCATTCCCATCATGTCCTCCCATCAGCAAGTAACAATGTAGAGCTTCAGGGGGGTTGTTGTGAGTAATGAGCATGCCTTCAAACACGGACCTGGGCTGGGCTTCAAACCCCGGTGTTGACAAGCATCCATCCCACTGACCTTCAGCAAGACAATGAATCTCTATAGAGCATAATGGGAAACTAGAATATTTTCCTTCAGGGAGTAAAAGTGATTTTCATCATACTGTCTGTTTCTTTTGCTGTTGATATACATCTTACTGAGGCATACCTTCAGAGTAGGATATGCTGACTTGATGTGATTTTTTATAAACATTCAAATGAATTTAAAATGCTAAGGAAAAGCTGGTCATTTACTGACAACACAAGAAAAAATGAGGACAAGATACGTGAAAAGATAATTGAAGTGAGTGAAACTGAATTTTACATTGGTGTACGAAAATGTGTGTGTGCCAAGGTAAGTAAAACTATAATGATGTAAAAATATGTTGCCACAACATCCCAAGATATAATGAACTATAGTTTTCTTTAATGATCAAATCAAGACCTCATAATCGGCTGTGTTTTAGGAGCAGCTCCATGTAGTTCTTGACTGTAATGTTTCATTATCAAAATATCTAATGTTTTTTGAAATATGTCAAAGTGGCCATGGCTAAATGTTTTTATTGCTAAAATAATAATAAATTAATAATATTCTTTACACAAAGAAAAGTACAAATAAAAAATACCAAGTACTTCTATGTTAATGTAAAAAGTTTAAAGTGCTAAGCAATCCATTGTGTTTCACTGTTGCTGAATGGCTTTGAAAACTGCACTCTACCAGCTAAAGCCTCAGAAAAGTGCTTACCTGTTTCTTTCTCTTTCTCCCTACAGTCCATTGTAAAGAACGGCAAACAAGCTATGGTTCTGTTTTCCTTGTCGGTCACCGGCATGAACCAGAGCGTGATGATTTCCAACCGCCAGGGGCGGGCCCAACGCTCCAGCACTGAAATCCCTGGGGAGGGTGGCAGCGAGGAGGCTGAGCCCAGAAGAAGAAGGTCTAGGCAGCCGGAAGAGAACAAGGAGGAGAAGAAGTGCTGTTCCAAGTGCGTCTGCAAGCCCATTGATGCCGACACCATCGACATCTACGCCAGGGCCGTGTTCCCTTTCACTTTCGCTGTGGTGAATGTGATCTACTGGGTGGCGTACACCATGTGAGAATGGAGGCAACAGATCTGTGCGAATGGCTGCCATCCAGGGCTGTATATAAGAAACTCCTGGAGCTGTGCCACTTCAGTGCTGGCAGACTGGTGCAGCTGAAACAGCAGGCCTCAGAGGGGAAAAAAAAAACCTTCAGAAGAAATGAAGTGTCACAGCCTGTGAATATGGAAATATGGTAATTAATGGAAGTAGTTATGAGTTTAGAAAGTGTTAACAGGACTTCATATATTTAAATACAAATACAGAAATGTATTGTATAAAGGCAAGGGACTGTGTTGCCTGTTGGAGGTTCACATACACAGTAAATACAGTTTTAACAAACATCCTGTTATATGAACTCAACACAGGACACTATGACAAATCATCCTGCTTGAATACCTGCAGTAATGACCACAAGCTCACATCTTGCAAACACAAATAAGCATAGTTAACTTAACTAACTCAAAGCCACAATCTGGAGTGAACCGCCTGTTATCTCAAAAAGCAAAAGTGCCGCCCAAACTAGAGGATAACAAGATGAGGTGTACTACTATTCTGCATGGCTGATAACTCACTCACCCTCTTCCCTCGCCAGCGCCACCCCCCCTCTTCCTCTCTCTCCTTTGGTCCTCCACCTATTTTTTTTTTTCAATTCATTTTTCGTTTGGGACACCGTCTGGAGTGTCTTATCTCCTTCTGCCAGTTCTGCCTGTTTCCTCACCATTAAAGGACTTCTTCCACTGACCTGTGTGTGTCTCTCTCCTGTCTCTTTAAATGGCCACAAACACAAAATCCGAGCGGTTGTTGGGTGTGATTAAAAAAAAAAGCTGAAATCCCTTCTGACAGATCTCCTGAAACAAGAATATAAGCTGCAGTGAATATTACTTCAACAAGAAGGCTCAAAAAAGGCTCTAATTTGAGGAATTATGAATAATTTACTTGTATGTCCAACTGACAGGGGTCAAGAATTATGCTCTATTAATAATTTCAGACTCCTGTCTGTCCTCTGTCTGAACTTGAATATTGATTCCAGGAAAGTTCTGGATGAGAAAGCACTGCTGCTTCCCAGTCATAGAATGACATAGTTACAACATTAGATTCAACATCACTACATTTCCTTTGTGATAATCACTTTGTCTCACCACAGTCTAATTTGATCTTTTTTAGCTTAAGCAACTATAGTTGGAAACATAATAATCATTAATGATATTAGGGGGTCATCAAAAATGTTAGGATTCATTCACTGGAGGCCATTAATATTCACAAAACATTTCACTGAGACCTGTTTAATTATCAGTTTGTCATGAACCAAATTGTTAGTAAAAGGAAAATTGGATAATGGGACTATAGAAAAGGTCAAGGGCTAAGCACAATATTAGGATTCATTCTCTATGGAGAATGATTGTGGCCTGACTACCAGCACCAAAATTAACTGAAATCTGGCCTGTAGATGTTTTGATATCTGATATCTCACAGCCAACTGACCAAACAACTGGCAGACCAAATGCGACTGTGAAGTGAATTTTCATCCAATTTACAGCCAATTCACAGCCAATGTACTAAACTTATAGCTGTAGCTAACACACACGCCAACCATCTGTGTGGAGTGCGCTGTGATGATACAGGTGGCACGGCAGCTGCCCACTGCTCCTATGGGTCAAATGTGGAGAATGAATTTCCCTGCTGGGATCATTAAAGGATAGTTTGACTTTGCTTGAACACTACCTTCCCAGCACTAACAGCAAACAGACATACTCAACGACTACCTGGTTAACATGTTGCTCGATGTCGTCTGAATGCTTAATTGCTGATACATTTGTGTGCTTACAGTTTGTTTCTGCTGCCCCCAAGTGGCCAAAAAATCAAGTAATGCAAAAATACCATCAGATTCCTGACCAATGTTTATAATTCACCCACTAATAAAATAAAATAAAACATCTTGTCAGTCATCTGTCCGTGTTCCACTTTAGAGGTTTGGAGAGTTGACGTTTCTGGACAGCATCAACCTACGCAGCATCCTCACTCTGATGCAATAGCAGTAACATAACCACACACTCCTGTAGTGATTGCTCCAGGGGCCATCAGCATCTCCATTCCCTCTTGTTGCTCCATGTTTTTGTGCGTGCACAGGCCAAGGAGCGAGGCTGTTATCAGCACAGTGAAAAGGCAGAGCAGGCATGGGTGGGAGCTGGGCAGGGCTGGGTGCTCTCTGAACAGGGAGCGCGGCAGGCCGGCTTCTCCCAGAGAGATAACTTTGTTCTGGGCCAGGAGAGATGACATCATGACGGATGGCGATGAAGATGTGGGCGCAGGGGGCAGGAAATGTTATCTCCTACAATGGCACCGAGGGGACGGAGACACACACATATACACTTGTGGAACACACTAACCGTTCACTGATACTCTAGTATAGTCACTGCCCATTGAACACATACACACATGGGAACACACACACCTCTGACATGCCTGAGGTGTAGGAGGTGGCAGTCATTTAAAAGTCAGACACATATGGGTCCGGTCACTGTGTGTGACTGTTCTGGTATTGTCGTTTTTGAGTGCACAGCATCTGAGAACTTTTGGGAAATACGCTGAAGAAACTGATCTCCACCGAACTCAGCAAGGAGTCCAGCAGTAAGTTTGTAAGGCATGCAACTGCAGCATACATATTGCATGAATTCTTTTCAAGGCATATTGTTATTCACAATAACAGAACAAAACACTCAGAGACACAGATGATAACAGTTATAGAGAGACCTGAGTTGGATTCATGTTTAATTCAATTCAATTTAAAAACAGTCATAAAGGAAAGTTATTTGTGTCAGCATGTGCAAGAGAAAGTTTGAGGCTTTCAGTCTAAAATATATAAAGACATTTATATAAAAAGGCACACATTATAAAGGGTGAAATATATTTCTATTTAGCTCTTTATTTCATCAGTAAGACCCCTCCAATGTACTGTAAGTACCATTTACAACAGCAGACCTTATTGTAACAATCCTTGGATGATGTTGAATTACTAACCTTTGCTGTTAACTTAGTAGAAACTGAGAAACCACTGACCCTTTTTAATAACCTTAACAACATTTCATTGTTGTGTATGTGAAAACCATCTTCTTCCATTTTTGGTAAATGCTCTGTTGTGAGTTGCAACCCTGTCTCCTAGAAATTACATTTATATACAACTTATATACATTTTGAAGGAAAAATAATTTTGACCAGATTATGTTTTGCTGTAACATGAATGAACATATCTGGCAAAGGGGATCCCGAATATATCTGTAAAGCATTGTTGGGCTAGTAACTCAAAACATGCAATATATTACTCATTACTCTTTTAAAAAGTAATACTATTACTTTACTTAACAGTAATTAGTTACACTACTAGTTATATTACTGTTCTGCTACTCCCCACAGAATTGTTAATTGTGTCCCTTTATCCCCAAAATTAAGACTTAAAATACAGTTTTGTTTGTTAAAATCAAAGTAATGGAATATTTCCAGCTGCTAAATGTAAGTGTTTCCATCTTCCAAGCTAGTTTCCTCCACGATAACACAAATTAATCCAAGGATGTGATTGGATTGTTGGAGTATCAATAAGTAACAATAGTATTACTGAAATGTATTAACAGTTTAGTATTATTGTATTAACACAATAGTTTTTGGGGAAAATAATATAATTACTGTAATATCATTGCTAGTAATGAGTTACTGGTAAGCATTTACTGCCAATGTGTTTCATTTGTTTTCCACCATAATACCAGATCTTCCAATACAGTATCTGCTTAGACAAAAAAAAAATCTCTAAAAAAAGACTGAATCATCAAAAAGTTGACATTATGGAGATACCTTGTTTTCATTAGAGAGCAATGGTGTTGAAGGGTACTAGAAAGTAAGAAGAACATTACCTTTTATTAGTGACTTGTAACTCAGAGAGTTCTTATTAGTGGCCTATATCTGATGTGTGCAACATTCATTAATAATATATTAACTAGTACCAAAGTCACCACTTATCATAGTTATGAGTGTGCCCTATTAAAAAGTAGTATTGACATTTGGCATTGATGTTCCTTTTTTGGCATTCTGTATTTATTAAATGGTAACAGTGTAGATAAAAACAGGAAACATGAGAAATGACTTGCAACAAAAGTCCTCAATAATCCACAGAGATCCTGAGATCAGATTCAAGCAAACTCATGCAAAGCCTCCTGGAGTCCTTTAATATTGACTGCAGAGCAGTTTCTCTAACTCTTGCTTACTAATCACTGCTTGCTTTGAATTCCCCAAAAGCTCAGAAGCTTTTATCCTGTTAACTAATTGACAGCGAGGACTGCTTGCACACTGACATCATGCAATAGTTATTGATAATGAACGCTGAACTGGGGGTACGATGTGAAATGATGCAGGCGGTTACATAAGTTTTTATAAATTTTTCATGGCTGGTTTGGTTCTTGGCAGCCTGAGCCTGTGTGAGTTTATTTATTATATTTATTGCAAAATGCAATCAAATTGAAGAGGCCTTTGGCACTTGTCCATTCTTTACTCCTCTAAAGCCTTTACTGCTGGACATTAAGTTTGTCGCAGTGATACAATGGCAAAACTATATTAGGCTCAAGACAACATAAAGCACTTCATTGTTATAACTTTTGAGACATTGTTCAAAGTTTGAAGTGTAAATTAGTTCATATGCTATTTCTATCTCTCTTGGCAATTTTATAATCCGTGTAATCTTTAAAACTGTTGACACATCTTTACACTTATTGACAGCTTTCTTTGGCCATTCCTTTGTATACTGCAAGGGCTTTTTGCCAAAATGCGGAATCAGCCTCAACTTTCATCAATCTTGCAAGACTGCTTTGTTGAAAAGCAAACATGGCATCTAAATAAGAGAACATTATATCCCACTATCTGTAAATCACTGGTTCAGCCACTACAAAACAAAACCAAACAATCTAGTAATGGGTTTTATACATTTAATGAAGGGAAGATGAAGATCCAGGGATGTACAGGTTGTTAAACCCACCTAAACTCAGTGTCTGTCATTTTCAGTAAGTTACATTGAGTCTAATAAAAGTGAATGTTAAATCTTCTATACAGATTTTCCATGGTGCATGATGTGTCGTATCCTGAACGTCCTGCTGGCTTTGCTGAGTCGCTTCCTGTTTGCGGTCCACGGGGTGGTGACAGTGTGGCGTGTGGTGGCCGTTAAAGAGGAGCCACTCTATTGGCTTCTGCTGACTGGTGTGGCTCTGCTGGGTGTGGAAATGGCTGTCACTCTGAAGTGCACCCAAAATGCTGAGTGGAAATGGTAATGTTTAGGTCACACACACAGGACACGCACATTTAATACAATTTAATATAGATTTAAGTAGGATGACATATGGGACTGTTATTGGACCTTTATTTCAAATCAGATCATTGTAATTGAATTAGTAACAGTACGTTGGGGTAGGGAGTCTTTGAAATTATGGCCAGTAGGCAGAATTGCAATGTCAAAATGTTCTTGAGCAAGACACCTAACCCCAAGTTGCCTTTAACTCTGTTGTGTCCAGATAAATGCCCACATCCTTCAAAAAACCCAGTTTGGAAGCCAAGTTACCCTTATTACACCTGGGGTCAAATTCTCCAGCCTTATGAAGCTCTTGTAGCGACACATTAGACATTATAAAACAGTTTTCACAGGCTGAGCAGTGTAGGAGAATCTTATCTTGATGTGTTAAACTGTTGGAGTGCACTTT